TGCATGGTGCAACCTCCTCTTTGACGACGCAGAAACTATCTTATCAACCAGCAAACCTGTTTGAGTCCTATGTCTTCCCAACCGCCCAGCCAGCTTGGGTACCCAAAGACACCAGCCCCTTTTACCCTACAGCCATGGTTACTTGTTGAGCCAGCCCTGCCTAATCCCTCCAAATGCCAGGCCTCAGTCCTACTGTAGACATGCAGCAGCAGGCAGGTGCCCCTGGCACGGCTGTTACTCACCCTGGCCCGTCCTTGTGATGTATCGAGAGCCCTGTCATTGCCGTGCTGGAAGCTCCAGCCCTGAGGTTCAGCGATACCCAAGCTCAGCCCGGTCCCACCAACGGCCCCGGCACTCCCAAGTGTGAAGAGATGCTGGGAAACATGGTGCCAAAGGGCTCCAGACCCACAAGACAGAGAGAAGAATCCAGCTCTTAAGCAGTCAAATGACCTGGGGACACTGGAAGGTGGCAGCCCTGCCTGTGGCATGTGCAGCCCAAACCCTGCACTTCTCCAGAGGCAGAGACTGACACACCGCCGCCCTCCTCACCACCTTCTCCATGCTGCCAACCCCCCCAGGCAGGACGGCAGCCATCAAGAGGCGGTCACAAATCTAAGGCGGTGCCAAGGCCCCAGTGCTGCCCTTCAGTCCATTCAGGCGGGTCAAAGCCCCATGCCGTGTGCACAAAACTGATGCTTTGCTCTGCTTCCACTGCCAGACAAAGCCCATCGCCACAATTAGACGTTACGCAGGAATGGCCCAGCACGTGCTCGAGCTGACACATTACCTGTGCACAGAGCCACGTGAATTGCAGTCGAGGGAGTGACCTGGGGGTGCACAGTTACACATGTGCGTGTTGGCAGGACAATGTCCCTGGCTCCCAAGTGGAACAACGACACCTTTTGCAAGCACAGCCACAGAGGAAGCGCGGCCGCGTGGTCAGTGCTCTAGTCAGCATGCGGGACACCCTGGCTGTGGCCCAGGACTGTTCCGTCACTGACTTAGGGCCCTGGCCACGTCCCTTGGGTTTTCTCTAGATCAACCATGGTGCCATGGCCTTAAGAGCCTTTTCAGGGGGCTGTGGCATGCTCCACAACATTAGCACTGTTAGGTGCACAAATGTGATTCATAAGATAAAACCAGAGACTTCAAATAAACCAAAAGAAGCTGGGGGTTTTCTGACTTCTTTGCAATGGAAAGACTGCTCTGTCATTTTTCTGTAGTCAAAAATAGAGTGGAATCTAAAGCTGGCATTTTCCCAGGGGGGCTGGGAGTTTACTGGAGGCTCAAGTCTCTCCAGTGGTGCTTCAAGTCTACGAAGATTGAGACCCACTGCTCTCTCTCTCTCTATATATATATAAAATCAAGATGCATCACTTCTCTCCCTGCCTTGAGGCTGGTGAGTGTTAGAGGGGTGCTCAGATACTGCATTAATGGTGGCCATGGACTAAAGAGCCCTGAGTGGATGAGACTCGGGTGTTTCCAAGCCTCTGGTACATCAGCCAGGCAGCTCTAAGCTCCAGGAGACACAGCTGCAGCCCCAGTCAGTCAGTTCAACTGAAGCAGATTTCAAGTCAGTGCTACACTGCATCACTCCAGCCAGCTAAAACCCCCTGAAACCAGCTCCTCAGTACACGGGGCACTCGTGAGACCACTCCACAAATACAGGTTTCAGGTTCAGAAGCCAGAGGACAAGGAAAACACTGCAGGAAGGAGTATGCGACACCAGAAGACAATGCATATGGCATTTAGGCACTCTGTGTCAGATCTACCACCCATTGGTTGGTGTGGAACTGAAGCAAGAAGCTGCTGCAAGTTCTTGCAGATGCAAAGATTTGCCCCCAAAGCCTTTAATGAATCTCAACCCTGGCCATCCCTGCGTTAGAAGCACGCAGCTGTTGGCAGCCAGCGGTGCTATTTTTTTAAGTTGTAGAACACAGAACAGAACATCCAGGAAAACAGCAATGACAGCAGGTGGGCCGTCGCCACTCACAGCCCCGAGATAAAATCCAGGCCTTTCCAAGACCAGCACTACCTACCTCTGCTCTGGGCTTTGACTGCTCCTCTGTGCGATGCTCTCCCACTCGCCTGTGCTGTGGAGTCACATGCTCTTGCTCGCTTCCTCGTGAGACTTATGGTGCTTCCAGCTTGCAGCTGAACCAGACAATGGCCTTTTCTGTGTGGTCCTGGAGCTTTCTGCAAGGGGAACTATGGACAAATCCTGCAGCAGAAGAGAAACGGAGAATTCTGTGTGTGAGAGAGAGAGATCTCCAAGCAGTACCAATTCTCAGATGGGCGCAGGGCTTGGATATAAGATCTGGGGTAAGGGTTTGGGTCAGATCTTGTAGGGTCAGCCTGTAGCGGCAAAAGCGACCACCTGAGGCTCCGCTGCCAGGTGAGGGCATCCCAGCTCGAGTATCCCCTCCCTGCAGTCAAGAGGGAACTCCAGGAGAGTCCAGATCTCTCCCAGGCGCCCCGGCTGGCAGGATGGATTGGGAGCCCATTCACAGAGAGCCGTCACCCCAGTACCTCCCCTGGGGACCCTGCAAACCACCCATGACCCTCAGATGGAAACTTGAGGGCAGCCAAGTCAGTGGCTGTGGTCATCTGCTCTCCCAACAGATCCACCTCCTTGTAAACGGCCTGATGAATTTCTCAGCTCCTTGGCGTAATTCCCAGCACCTGTCTGCTGTAGATAAGGCTGGTCTCAGCAGGCCCCCAGGTGTCAGGATTCAAACACCACTGCTTGCCCTGCATGGTCCAGAGTGACCCCCATTGTCTCCAAAGAGCCCCACAGAGGTTGCTGTTTGTCCCTGCAATCGAATCTGCCCCTAAACCTCCCACCCTGGGGGAGATTAAGCAGAACTACCTGGGAGAAGAGAAGCAGGACACCCCCCCCAACATCAGACTGGAAACCAAGGGAAGGCCTTTGAGGCTGGGTTTGTATTCCTAATGCAGAACGGGAGGCGGCGGTGGCAGAGTGACTGCCAGTGAGGAATTAGAAGGGGTGTCCTAGTGTTGCTCTGGCAATATCTTTTATCGGACCAGTGTTACAGCCCGGAGAGAGGCGAGGCAAGCTTTCAGACACAAAATGCCCTTCCCCAGGTCTTAGGAAGCCTTAGCTAAACACCAGGTAGAACAGGCTAATGACTTCTGTCGTGTAAATGAAAGCAGGCACTTAAGAAGGGAAGTGGGCAGGAAGCGCAGGGGCCCTATGGACAGAACTCATCACCATGCACTGCTGCACCTTGGAGATTTTCTAGTGTTGCTGCAAATCCACCAGGCCTGGTCCTCCTGGAGGCCTGGGGACAGGGCATCCCACTGAGGGGAAGCATGCCATGCTCTTTCTCAATGCCCTCCAAATGCCAGATCTATGAATCTACAATCTATGAATCCAGAGCATCCAGCGCTGGCGTCCCAGGGGTACAAGACACGCCGTGTGCTGGGCCACCAGTCAGACCTGGCACTGCAGGTCTACGTTGGAACATGCTAGGCAGGGGCTCAAGTCATTGCCTCTATCCCTGGGAATGTGAGGATACTTTGCTGGATGCTTCTAAGGGGAAATGGAGAATTGGTTAAAAGATGAGAGGTGTCACTGGAAGAATAAAGCCATCTGCAGGGTAGAAATCTCCTCGTCAACCCGTCTCACCAAGGGGAAAGGCCATTACTTAGACTCTGCTCCCAATGGGGCTCTGCTCAGCTGCAAACTAAGCACCGGTGCCTTTTACTTCTGAACGCTGGAACCGACGTATCCATCACCAGGAACACGACCCCGGTTCCTGCCCTCCCTCACCAGCCACATCCCGAGCTGGGAGCTCCACGACGCTGCAGCGGGGCTGCCAGCCCCCTGCTAGATTTCACATGTAGGTGGTGGGTCACCACCCCGAGCAGCTCCTTCAACGCCTGAGAGCGGGGGCCAGCGAAAGCACGCTGAGAGCCGCCAGGCACGGCACAACAGAGGGAAACAAACTGAGAAAGGCCTGGAGCTGAGACCTGGGTGCCCTCCTTGCCTCTGCCACAGACTCCCCATGGGGCCTTCAGCAAGTCACTTAGGCTGAGGTTTCCAGCAGTGCGGAAGAACATAAGCATGGCCATGGCCTGGGTGAGACCCTGGGTCCCTCTCGCCCTGTCTCCTGTGTTGCACTGCAGCCGGCAGGGAGAGTGACCTGGGTCTGACCAGGATATTTCCCCCTGTTCCTCTCTCACTTGCAGCCTTCAGCATTCAATGGCTGGAAAGCTCTGATTCAGAGACCATGCCTCTCACCCCCAGGCCTATGAGACTGGGTGTCCAAACCCCCTCGGCAGAAGCTTTTAGCCCCCAGGGTTCCAGGTGCCTTTCCATAAAATGGGGATAGGTGTCCTTGCAGGTCTGCTCCTGGGACTCAAGGACATCCTACTGTCTGAGCAGCTGGGCTGGGACTCGCATGGCTGGGCTCCCCCTTTCCAGCTCTGCTCAGCCCCTCCTTGCCACCCCCACGGGTTTCTCTCGGGTTACTTGGCGGATATATTTTCCGAGTGTGGTCAAGTCCTTGGTGTGGTCTGGTCCTCCCTCCTGCCCTGGCCCTGGGATGGGGGTCCTGGGCTCTTTGGCTCACGCTGAAGGCTCTGGATGAAAGGTGATCAGCTGCCAATGGCAGGGCAATCTCTGCCCCACACCTGCCCCCCAGGAGGGGCCTGTGTGGGGAGGATGAACCTATTGCCAGTGCTGGGAGGTGGCTTGGGTTTCCCACTGAGTTTCACACAGACATCAAAGCATCTCCCCCTCCATCGTGGAGCTGAGAAGTTGCAGGCCCACACGTAGCTCCCCCCACCCCAGGCTGCCCAATCCCTGCCTCACCCACCTTGGAGCAGGCAGGGAGGGGCACCTGCTAAGGCTTCCAGCCAGTGAGAAAGGAACTGGGCCTCCGGGCTTGCTGCAGAAGAGGTTTAAATCCCAGGGGGGACTCCAGCCCCTCCTCAATGAGTCCTGATGCCTGACAAGCAAGGCTGGGGCCCAACTCCCAACACTGGGCTCAAGGGCTGGGGCGTAAGACTTGAGCAGCAGGGCCACGGCGACGTCGGACACCATGAGCTCGGCTCCCAGCCACCAGCAGCTGGACCACGTCTTCAGCGCGGTGGAGAGCGGGCTGGAAGTGGGCAGCGAGAAGGGGGATGCCTTGGAGAGGGAGATCAAGGTGGAGCTGGAGGAGAAGGAGCTGTGGACGAACTTCAAGGAGCTCACCAATGAGATGATCGTCACCAAGACGGGCCGGTGAGTGAAAGGGTTCTCTGGACCCTCTGAGCTGCCCCCATTACCAACTTCCCCCCTTCCTTAAGCACCTAGAAGGTGCCTCTTGTCACGGCAGCTAAGCCCCAGAGACTTACTTTTAAATGTTCACACGCTGTCTTAAGGACGGTGCCACTGGTGGTTTGGTGGCTGTCAAGTCTCTGAGCAACTTGTGACGTGACTTCCAGCTCTGGGGGTCAGGAAGCACCTTACTTGAAAACCACAGTTGATTGCCCCTCTCTCCCCGACAGGAATTGTGCTTCCTTTGAAGCCAGGATAGGAAGACAATGTCCAGGAGAGCAGAGCATTTACCTCTGCTTAGGACTTGCATTTGAATTGGACGGAGATGACTCGATGTGCACGAGACAGTCTTTGTTGTCCTGAGGGAAACAGAATGGGACAACTTCACCCCTGGAGAGACCAGGCCCAGATGGGTTGTTCTAGACAGGGGCAACTACCCAGCTGAGGCCAGATCTCTCCAGTGTCGAGCGCTGCAGAGACACAGTTAGAGACGGCCCATGTCCAGGGGACATCAGAGCTCAGATGGGCCAGACAGCGAGGGAAGGCTGGGGGACAGGGCAGGGAAGGGACTTGCCCAAGAGAAAACGTGCAGCCCAGCCCATGCCTCGTCTCAATAGATGCTGCCACCTTTTACATGCGCTCCGGCTGAATGGCACCCACGTATTCCAGATCAGAATATGGCCCCTAGTCCCTTGGAAAATATACCACTCCTCTGTGCTGAGGGCAAGCCCTGTACCAATGGAGGTAGGTTAGAAACCGCCTCTCCCTGAGATGGGGCAGGTTCAGAAGCCATGGGCTGTAGCCTGAAAACCTGGGTTTTTTTCCAAGAAGTCCTCTGAGAAAATTGGGCTGGCAGGGTCCTCAGGAGTCCATCGCTTCTAGCCCCCTGCTCGAGGCAGGATCAGCCCTGGCTAAAGCATCCTAGACAAGAGTTTGTCTAACCCCCTCATCCTCCAGATGTGTCCCGCGGGAAGGTGTGTGGTTTCTGGCATGGCTCAGGACAGCTAGATCTGGTTGTCAATCACACACACAGGGAGAGGCAGCAGAGCAGCACGGTGACCTTTGCCTCACGTACTTCATTTTCCCTTCGGCTAAGTGGGGCCTGTGCTCAAAGTGGGAGGTTAGCGAGGTGGGGTCTTTGTGGCATCCCCCTGCATGGAGGACAAGCTCTCCTGGGATGAAGAAGTGCGGCAAATGCTGCAGAGAAGAGGCTGCTGGTGGCTGTGGATGGTTGCAAAGGCCTCTGGCGAGGAGAAATCGAGGCTCCCAAATAGGGGAGCCACCCCCAACCCTCAAGAAAGATTGAGGGAAACAACAAGGTCTGATCATTTTGATGTGATGGAAGGTAGAGGGCACAAGGGAAGGATAGGTTGTTTCTAGGCATTTGCCCTCTGTTACGCCTCCAGAGGCAGACACGTCTGCTCGGTTGCAAAGGAAAGAGAAGCGGGAGCAAAGGGCGAGACTGATTAGGCTCAAATTAAATAAAATAAGGCCCACCCTTTATGGCCGCTTCCTGGTTACTGTAATCACCACAGCGATACGGGCCTGGCTACGCAGCACTGGTCACCTGTCCTGGGCTGTGAAATGGGCCTGACCCGTGTTATCCCCTCTCTGCTGCATCACAAGGAGAGGCTGTGCTCCCAGGACACGCATGAATGGGACAGTGGGAGGCAGCTGTGCCAGACCCCAGGAGCAGGCTGGAGTGGGAGTCTGTGGCACCAGGGCTGCCCTGAGAGCCAGCAGGCGAGAACCACTGGTTGAACCGCTGACATGCCAATATGGCTTTAGGGACTGATGAGAGGAGTGAGGAAGTGAATAAAGGAGAAGCAGGTGACTGATCATCTCCTCCTCCTGTCCCGTCCCATCCTAGGAGAATGTTTCCTGTGCTTAAAGTCAGCATCTCAGGCCTGGACCCCAACTCCATGTACTCGATCCTGCTGGACTTTCTGGCTGCAGATGGGAATCGCTGGAAATACGTCAATGGAGAGTGGATCCCGGGTGGGAAGCCGGAGCCCCAGAGCCCAAGTTGTGTCTACATCCATCCTCAATCCCCCAACTTCGGGGCTCACTGGATGAAAGCCGCCATCACCTTCAGCAAAGTCAAACTCTCCAACAAGATGAACGGAGGAGGGCAGGTAACTGTGACAAGGGGCCCTGGCGGTGAGGGATAGAGCACAGCTCTGAAGGGCTCAGTTGGTCAAAGCAGGAAGTTAGTTCCTGTTTCACTTGCCAAAAGAAAAGCAGTGCCAAAAGAAAATATTAGCATTACTGTAGCTGGAGCATTAGCCAGTGCCTCAGTCCTGCAACAGGCAAGCTGGAAGTTAGCAGCCCAAGGATGCTGTTTGTCTGCAATGTGCTCCTTGATGCCCAGATTGGAGAACACCAAAAGAGCAAAAGCCCCTGCTGCGGTATCCAAAGGGCTCCGTCCGGGCACAAGCTCCGTGCGCCTGCAGCAGGGTGGAGGAGGTGGGCACATCTCCAGCCTGGGCATCCACACTTTCTCTCATGCTCTGAAAGATCAGGCCCCAAGCTGACGAGGCCAAGCCCACAGAGCAATGCTTAATGCGCCTGTTCTGTCTCTCAGATCATGCTGAACTCCCTCCATAAGTACGAGCCCCGTGTCCACATCGTGAAGGTTGGGAGGCCGCAGAAAATGATCAGCAGCTTTTCCTTCCCGGAAACTCAGTTTATTGCCGTCACTGCTTACCAGAACGAGGAGGTAAAGGAGACTGGAGGGCGCTGGGGAAGGGCACGGTGGTGGGGATAGGAGCCCTTGCAGACTCACGGACCATTTTCCCTGAGACTCTGCTGTGGCCACCTCTCAGGTGGAAGGTGGGGGCAGTTTAGCAGCACAGTGTTTGGGGACGGGGTGAAGAAGTAAAATGTGTTCAGCCAAAACCTTCTAAAACTTTCCAAGCACAACTCAGTCCTGTCACTGTCCCCTTCCCCCTCTCACTTGTCTCCAGAGATTCCCGCTCTCCTCCGGGCATGTCACAGTCGGCACTGCCTGTGGAATGCTCTTTACGGTGCATCTCGTAAATCCACTCCAGCAACCACATACCCAGCTGGTCTGGAGCTGAGGCCTGGTCCTGGGAGCAGGAAGAGGTGCATGCATCTTGCGCATTCCCTTCCTGCTGCTCAGGTCAGTGGGAACTTTGTCACCGAGCAGCAGGGTCTGCACCGAGGGCAATCCAGAGCCCTGGGTCTCAGCACCTGGGCCCTGCTGGGAAAGGAGGTGTTAACCCTTCTGCTGCTGGGACCTCTCCCCAAGGCAACTGCTAGGATCTTGGAAGAGGCTGGACATCTCAGTCCTTTGTGTTCATTGCAGTCACAGCAAAGCCCATAGAAAGCCAGGACTGCAATCAGGCCCAGGTGACAACACAGCAATTTCACAGCGGTCCCTGAGGATACGCTAAGTCCTGTCCAGCCCTCTCCCTTCCCTCGCTGCTTCTCTTCTGAATGTTAGTCCAAAAGCAGGCACTGGGGCAGCATGGCCTGACGGGCAGAGCACAGGGTGAGAACCCGGAGAGGGCTACTCCCAGCTCTGAAACCAGGGGCAAGTCACTCCCTTCTGCAGGCCTCAGCTTCCCCGTTGCAAAACAAGGAGGATAATAAGCATGTGCCCCATGGGAGAGGCAGAGGAGCTGAGCAGCTGTACTAGCCAGTGTCGGTGAAGTCCTTTGAATAAAATAGGCCCCAGACAAGCACTTCTTAATACAAGATAAAACATCACAGCATTGGCGCCGGAGCCGTGAGCTGCCCTGCAATAACCAGGAGGGAGGAAGCTAGGAGCATTCAGCTCAGGTTTCCACAGGGTAAAAACAAAGGCTTAAGAATTCGTGAGAAGTCCCTTGGCAAGATCCAACCGAGAGAGCAGAATCCCTGGGTCAAACTGTGCTCAATTCCCACCGTGCTCACCCAAGAGAAACTTCCATTGAGCTGCCTCGTTTCATGCCAGTGCAACCAAGAGCAGAACACGTGTGCACGTGCATGCACATGTGTGGGGAGGAAAGGGGGGGGTTGAAGAAGAGGTGTGAAAAGGGGTAAAGAGTGGGCAGGAGTTTGTAGTTAAACCCAGCCTGCCAATGCCTTCCCGTTTCAGATCACCGCCTTGAAGATTAAACACAATCCCTTTGCCAAAGCCTTCCTGGATGCCAAGGAGAGGTGAGTGCTGCGTAGATGGCTGCTTCACCTGAGTCACTGGCACTCTTTGCCCTTTTCTAGCTCCTTTCATCCAAACCTGCAGGTAAACAGGGATGGATTAAACCGGACAACCCCCTTGTGAGCTCCTTACAGCAGGGGACATTGAGGAAATTTGCTCAAGGCCACCCCAAACCCTTGGGGGTAGAGCCAGGGACAAAGAGCAGGGGTCCCATCACTGTCTGCTCTGCTCCTCCCTAGGTCAGTCAGGGTGATCACTGGTTGTCAAAGCCTCAATGCTCTTAGATGATGGCTGAGCGCGTGATGCTGGCTATTGACTGAAGCCTTTCTATTCTGTGTTCTCCACCTAGGTGCAACTCCAAAGAGGTTCTCGAAAGCAGCAGTGAATCTCCCCAGGCTGCCTATTCACAGAGTGAGCCGTCTCCTTTTTGATCCAAATCTAGTGTCCCAATGGGAGTAGGCAAAGGTCCCATCCCCTCTCCCCTGGAGTCAGGGGAGCTTTGGTCCCTATAGCTTGGGGCTCTTTGTGATACGTTCCAGCCAGGCCCTGGGTTTCCTTAGCCCCTCAATGCTGCACTGGAAGTCGCCTCAGGTGGGGAATCTGCACTTTTGAGCTGTGTGATCTGATCTCCAAGCACAGCAGGCCAGAACTCCAGCCATGAGATGGGAAACTGGCTCTTAGTTACATCAGGCTGGCTCAGCACATGTCCCTGGCTTTGTGCCTCTAAGCTCCAAGTGGTGTCAAGTGAATACCATCAACCTGTTTGGGAGAGGACACATGACACTGCCGAAAGCAGCTCTATGACAGAGGGGTGTGAATCCAAAGGGGAATCATTGGGACTCAGGCTCTTAGGCACCTTGGAGAATTTGCTCTTTGGCTGCTAAGTGCTGATGTCACTTTGAGAAAGGGCTTTAGGTTCTTCTGCAAATGTGTCCCTTGGATCAACATCTGTGCGTTTCAGCCATTGTTTGAGTGGAGTCCAGGTCTGTGCCCTGCGTTCATGCCCTGCCAGGGTGTCTCTGGTGGGGATACTCTCGGTGGATGAAGGGGTCCTGGGTTAACACTGTTGTTTTCTTCTTTCCCAGTTGGGGGCTGGTTCCTGCCAGGCACCAGCCCCTTCTGCTCCTCTCCTGTCCAGACTTCACTGTCAGGGGGTCCTGGCCTCTCACCCAGCCCCAGCTCGTACTGCGAGCAGTACTCCAGCCTACGGAGCCACAGACCTGCTCCCTACCCAAGTCCCTACAGCCAGAGGAATGCCTCACCAAGTAAGAATACCCCACACACGCATGGGCACAGCCCCCTGCCCTGCCCTGTCTTGGTGCAGATATACAATGCAGTTGCACCAGTGTAAAGGCTGGGGGGGACACAGCACACAGCCCTGTCCTAGTGTCACTCATCTCTCTCTCAGGCAGGCTTCCTGAGGAGGGGGCCACCCCTCTATTCTGGTCACTTAAGTCACTGCTACGACAGCACATCAGGATTTCTTCTCCATCTAAAGGATCTATCTTTCTCTCCAGCTAATTATGTGGATAGCTCTGCTGGCCTCTCCATGCTGCCTGCCCCTGACAGCTGGTCAGGACTGAGTCTTTCCAGCTCCACCGGGGTCTTACCCACCTCTGCCTCTACTACAAGGTAAGGAAAAGCCACTCTGGTGTCTTCAACAGTGAGGGACAGAGATTTTATCCTGATTTAGAAGAATTAAGGCCTCTAAACATGGATAAGGGTCTGCAGTGGTCTGTCTCCCCGGAGGAGTTGATCCCAGAGGCTATGGCCACTAGGATTGGCTCCAAGCAGAGGCTGGTTTATAAGCCAGGCACCAGCACATTGCCCTCTCTGTAGGTTTGGGGTTTGAGAGAGCAAGTCAGCTCAGGGCACAGGAGCTCTGGCAATGCTGGGGTATGGCTGTGGGAGAAGATGACAGACACACAGAGGCACGGGCTGGGGGGGCAGCTGCCACCAGGTGGAAGGGGCCTCCAGAACAGAGCAGCAAGGGGTATAACAGGCAGAGGGGGCAGCCGTGCAGACTGTACAAGAGGCATTATGCAAAGAGATGAGCACCGAAGGAGCTAAACACTATAAGGGCAAGCAGATGGCAAACTGAATTCCCACCCTGTGCTAAGGACATAGGGGGTCTTCCCCTTCCCGCTCCACAGATAGGGAAGGGCAGGGGGTGAGCTCTGAGCACAACCCCTCCTGTCCTGAAGGGTCCAGTCTTCATTGCAAGTCTCCCCTGCCAAGGACTGGAAATAAGGTGTGTCGTGGGGAGAGAACCAACCCAGGTGACACCTGGGACAAAGATTAGGACATGGCTCCTGACCGGCTTCATAACCTGGTTCCAACAGAGCTGGGTCCTGCCCAGCCTGCACGCTGTGGCCCCTTCCCTTGAGCCCGCCGCGCACATGAGAGATGAGGGAAAGTGTACTCAGAAGCCTCTCACTCCTTCACTGAGTGGGTGTTGGAGCAAGGAAGCCCAGGAGAGAAAGGATCAACAGGACCCTTCTGTTAAAGGCCAGAAGGGTCTCTGGAGGGTTTTCAAACCTGGGTAGACAAAGCCTGGCCTGGGGTGATCTAGTTGGGACTGCTCCTGCATGAAGCAGGGGGCTGGACTAGATGCGAGCTCCTGAGGTCCCTTCCAGCCCTCATTTTCTATGATTCATTCTTTCTTTGTCTTCACCTTTCAGCCAATATCCCAGCCTGTGGCCCCTCACCAGCAACTCCATCAGTCCTGCTCCCCAGTCCAGCTCTAACCCCCCCTTCTTGAGAGGCTCTCCAGTCTCTTACAGCAGCTTGGCCCCTACTCTCCCAGCCCCCTCGCCCTCCCCAGTCTATGACAACGTTCTTCTGTCAGAGATGCCTGCAAGTGATAGTCAGTACGACTCCACTATTGCTCGCCTGGCATCCACGTGGGCAACCATCACTCAGAGTTACTGAGGCTGAGAAGATGGCTCCTGTCCTCTTAAAGGGTAACAGGCAGAGGGCAACGCAAGGGGCATCTGAGCTCAATCCTCTCCAAGGCAAGGCTGTGAGCACCCTGAGTCTCTCAGACTGGTGCCGAGAGCAACCTTCTGCCAGAAGAGAATGCTTCTCCAATTTCACTGCTTTTTAGCAGCCATGGCACGAAATGGAAGTCTAAAAAGCCTCCTGAGCGACTGGAGGATGACCCAGGTGGCACTCTACACTCAACAGAACCAGGAGATGGCTTTCTAGGAGAGAATCTGTTTTCCCTGAGTTTGGAAAGTCAAGACGACAAATGCATCTTGGCTGCCTTGAAAGATATCTGAACAACTGAACGTTCTTTCCAACTGCTCAAGACTCCAGAAGATCGCAATCCATCCAGGCAGCGTGTCATCTCTTGCAAGCAGGAGACCCGCCAAAGGGGTAGAACATATAAGCATGCGCTGCCCGGGGCCCCGCCAAGCTCCGGGTATGATCTGTGTAGAACTTTACTCGTAAATAAACCTTTTTTGCAAACAAGCTCCTGCTCTTCTTTTGCTCCAGACTAAAATCCTCCCAGAGCTTCTGCATGTGGAAGCCTGAGGTGCAATCTTTTGGCCACAGGGGATTTATCATCAGCCTAGCACTCCTTCTTCTTCCTTATGGGCACTAGTACCAGGCCCAAGTTTCTTCTAAACTAAGCAGCCCACTGCATGCTGATCCTTTGAGGTTCAGCAAATCACTTCAGATTGCAGCACAGGCCCTCATCCATACCCGTAACAAGCCATCAGGCCCTGGCCTAGAGGACCTCCTCCAGGTTCTAGTGGGTGACCTAGTCAGGGACCAGCTCCTACCTCCACTCCCAAAGCTCCTTGTATTATCCCGATCCTTCCCAGATAACCGCTGGGAAAGGAGAACAGCAACCAACAAAACCTATTGGGATGCCCTGAAATACACTGTGCTCCCTGATTGGGGACTAGAGCCTGCTCTTGCTGGGAAGATCACGGGCTCCAGGAAAGAGAAGTTTTCCAGCTACTAACTAGTGTGATTCTGGGTTTCTGTTTTCTTCAGTCTTCTCCCTCCCACTTGTCCCAGAGTCAAAGCCACAATTAGGCAAAGAATGACCAAACAGACTCATTAATAGCAGGGACCGCTATTCCCAACCTCAAAGCAGGTCAAATTTAGCATGCCCCTGAAGAGGGAGAGAGCAAGCTCACGCTTTACTTTCCATGAGACCGTATTCATCAAATAGACTTCAATCCACCACATTTGATCCTTGCCTGCAAAACAGATAAGTGTCCCAGCCGGGGCCCCCTTCTGTTCCGAGGGACATTTTGGGGCCGTGAGCTCACAGCAGCAGCAGCTTTCTGCTAAAAACTCACGGCTCCATTTTAGGGGCATGACTTAAAATGATCCAGGGAAGCAGGAACGAGGCCGAGTTCCAGGAGCGCAGCTATTTCACACGTGGGTGTCCGCAGAAGGCCAGTGCGGCTCCTTTGTCGACAAACATCGAACTCGGGGGTATGTGCAAAAGGAGGTTCGGGAGGGGGTGGACACACAGGAATTTGCCGCTCTTAGTACATGCAGCCAGGAAGGCGGGGGCTTGGCAGACACCCAGCAGCACTTTTGGAGGCACCACAGCTTGTAGATTATCAAACATATCAAATCGTTACGGTCTTTTACCCCCCACCAGGCCTTGTCTAACTAGAGACGTGCTTTGAAGAGAGCCCTGTCCTGCAACCGGGAAGCATCAGCTGTATGATGTGGGTAGCCCACAAACACCTCATGCCCACCTACTGCCATGAGTTTCCCAACCCCACAATTTTTTTGGACTCTATTCCCAGAGGACAGAGACAGGAAGGGAGTCAGTCGCTCCCGCTCTACTCATACATGCTGGGTGCCATTTTGTGTTCTCACCCACGTTGCATTTGTTGCCCAGTAATTTGGGCTTTGGCGTGTACACTGCAGACCAAGGGCTCAGGAGGCCAAGCTTGCACCAAGAGATGTTGACAGTGGCATGTCCCCATTGGCTTTTTACCAGCATGATCACCCCCATTACGCTGGCCCAGTCCTGATGCCAGCAACAGCTGTAGCTAGGCAGCGATAACAGTGAACAATGTAATTGCAGCACACTCCCTGCCTGACTCACCTAGCTCATGAACTGGAGCCATCTCTTACTGCTCTTGATGGGGGCTGTTGCCGTATATAGCGCTGATGATTGCACAGCTGGAGTCTTCCCCCTCTGTGATCCCGGGGTTGACCTAATGAGAAAATTCCAATACCCAAGTGAGACATGGCTTTTCTCCGGCCACATGCTCTCCACTCGCATCCATCTCCCCGGGTCCTAAACCCTCCGTGTGCCAGGACAGACCTTCTACACCACACCCAACTTATTGATGCAGTGATGAGATAGCAGGGAGACCAACTTCTGCTGGTTAGGCAGAAAGAAACCGAGAAGTTGGAAAGAAAGTAACACGGAGTATTCTGAGGAGGTAGGCAGCGGTTACCATTCACGCGGCTTCCTGAGAACATTTTAGAGCAGGGACATAGACCTTGTACTTTTCACAATGATTCTTTGAACCCAGCATTTCTCCCTGGTTGGATAGGGGGCATGTTAAAGAAAAGACTGCTGCCCTGGGCATTTAAAAACACCAAGCAGCGATAAGCATGTAGCTATAGTTTTTTGGTTATTCACATTTGATCGAATAATACCCATTTAAACTCCAAATCTCTCAAAGTCAACCTGTTTCCATTTTACACTACCCCCCTAGTTCACAGCAGAGCATGTAAGTTTATCTACCCCATGAAGCACAGACACAGGATGAGAAAAAGACGGAGTTTCTGTCTTAATTACAAGTAGGTATTCTTCAGAGCATACACGTAAAACATGGCCGAAATGCAGCCAGCTCTGGGGCAGACAGCTGTCCTGCTGCCCAGGGCACGACAGCTTGGGGAATGGGAATTATAAGCAAACACACCAGGGCAAGACCCTACTTTTCTGGAAAGCTTCTGAAAAGCTCTCTCTTATGGGGCAGACGGCTTGGGTTTCAAATTCTAAACGTCATGTCACAGACTATAAGGTTACCTATGGATGCTCAGCTATGCGTGTGGGCACGGGGGCCTTGGTTCTTCCCTCCCCATAAATATTCCAGCTCAGGTGCTTTTTGAGCCTCAGCCACAAGGCAGGAAGGCCTAGTCGATCCTCTGCCAGACAGATCTCACTCTTTAGCAAGTCGCAGCTGCATCCACATCCATTTTCACTACCAAGTGTTAGTCTAAGCTTCCTTTGCTGAGTTTGTTGGGGGGAAAGATCGGGGGGAAGCAAAGGAAACCTGCTAAATTCTGCTCCACAGGCAACTATGCAAGATTTCAGTCAGTAAGAGCTGGGAGATCCACGGTCTGAACACAGGACTGCAAGCCAAGACCTTGCACCTACGAGAACTGCTTGGCTGCTGAAACTCTGGCATTTCAATGTCTCAGTTTCACCATGTGTGCAGTGTTATGAAACTAAAAAAAACCAAAACCTATTCACCAGCCTCCTAGGGCAGTTCCTCTCTGCAAAAGAGAAGGTGCGTTCTCTGCAAAGTCTGGCTCATTGGAGAGAACTAGGCCAGGCTGCAATATCCACAAAGACAAACACAGCGGGCTGCCAGTCTGAGTTCAACTCCAGGCTCCCCCAGAGGTCTTAACTCAAGTTGTCCCAGGGGTGGTCTTAGGGTCACTCCACTGCTAAACTACTTTGAACAGGCTAATTGGTTATCACCAGCTTAAACAGCCTCCTTCAGGGGAGATGCAGCGTATTAGGTGAGATACCATTGTAAAGAGCCAACTCAGAGAGAGAGAGAGAGAGAGAGAGAGAGGTTATAGTAGAGATTTGGAAAGATATAAACTACTGTGGTTGAGGAGTCGCATTCATGTGTGGACTCACACAGGCTCTTCCACACTCACAAGTCTACGAGCCCCTGATTTGTTCTCTGCAAAGCTCCCAATGGGACTTTGACAGCCTCAATCATGCAGAGCAAGGAGACAGGACCCGCTGACTGGCACAGACAGTGCAGCAAGTGATCTGCTTTCCTCTCATCCCACCCCACACACGCTGGTTTCCTTCTATGCTCTCCTAGAAGTGGTGCGATAAAGGGGTTATCTACAGAAACACTCAGCAGCTGGCGAAAAGGTCTCAATCATGGATCTGCATCCTCCATGCTTTGCAACATTCCTGCACTTTATTTTCTCTGTTTCAGAGCAGGTTATAGCCAACTAGCAAACCCAGGGGGAAACGGAGAGGCAGGGAAGTGCTTTTATTAAAGAGTTGACCATAAATAAAGCTCTCTGCCCTGTGCAAGCAGGGATGAACAGAGACAGCAGCACTCCCACCCTGCAAGAATCCAGGTGACCTGTTCGGCAAACAGTGAAGTCGTGTCACAAGCAGCAGCTCCATTTGCTGCAGCAAATCCTCCTATTTGGACTTGTTCCTGGTGCGACAGAGGAGACTTTCCACATCTGTGTTCTCCTAGGTCTCTTCTCTTCTTCACCCTGCAAAGGCCCACATTGGCCTAAAAGTCTCCTGCTCCTGAAAGATCTTAAGCTGGTCTTGTCCTGAAGCTGTGGAGGCTCCTGGTCTCGCCATACATTCAAAAAACTCCCCAGCTTGTGCTGCACCTTTGTGACGAGGAAGCTGAAGAGCCAAATTACTACTCAGCAGCTACCAGGTCTGTGTCAACCATACAGAGGGCTTCACCCGCTCTTGATGGGAAAATGGGAGATGTGTTACGATGTGGGAGAAGCTCCCTTCCCATAAGCTACAGAACGGATGCAAGAGCATTATATTGCCATTGCTTCTTCTTCCACAGTTTTCTCTTGAGGCTGCACATACTTCTCCTGCACAGCAAGAGTGCTGGTCACCCTGGAGTCAAGGAAAATAAGGCAGCAAGAGGGGCTGGGGCTCAGGAAACCCTTGAGACAGGGGAGCACTAACATCAGTCTGACAACTGCCACAG